ACATCAAAAAGTAAAGTATAAACAATATCAAAAAATCAAATTTCCAATCAAACTGATTTGTGCAGATCAGGGGTGTCTCATATAGGTACATAAATATTTTGGAGCCTGTTATAATACATCTTATTCTATTCCTAGGTTTTCTACATTATGGGCCGTTTTCTCATCTAACCTTTAGATTGCCGGCCACTTTATCGTCTCGATATACGAGTTTTCGTTTTCTCATCAGCGCATTAATTTCTCGAATCGATAAATTGTTGCTCACCCGATGCAACCTTTACAAATTTGTACCCAACTTTAAATTTTGGTTTGGTTTTGGTTTATGAGACAGATATATTAGATATTTCAACCAAGGTTTTGGTTTTTGCTAACAGTTGCTCTTGCTTTATATTTGCTTATGTTGCATTGCCGACCTTTGAAATTTTATGACGAATGTAGTCAAGTTTCACTCTCGGAAATGTAGTCAAGTTTTGTCTACGGAATAACAAATTAATTTTTACAGGTAAGATAAGAAAACGAAAACACTTTAAAGTAAGGAACAATTTATCCGCCCTGTTAGTAAAGGCAACTTTACTGCTTACATTAGAAAACGGCCCTAAGTAAAGTTGAGAGAATGGCATCAAATATATATATTTTTTGATCAATTACGATGCTTTATTTAACTGTCAAAACATGGAACTAAACAATTTTTCAGGGCGCTCGCTCATCTTGCTTACGTACCTAGAATATGGTTTTACTGAATAAGAAAATTAATATGACCACCAGGTTGTCGAAGCTTTGCCCGGAGGGCATATCATTTTTAGAGTTTTCAAGATTTGGATAGCTTTACAAAAATATTTTGGAAAAAAAATGGTTTTCGATATCTATTAAGTAAATTTTTTACTCCAAAATTTAGGTGGAAAGCCTATTCCGAAATACTCTGGAATGAATTTAACAAAATACAAATATTTATTACATACATAGAAGCGTGGCAACCCTGATGGAAAATATTTTCTGACCAAAGCTCTCAACAATACCGTTCATTTGATATCCATATTGCGATGTTTTAGATAAATTGTGTAGAATCGAACATAAGTGGCAACCTTACACTATTATCCTAAGGGATACAATTTTGTATATAGGGAAAGCATTGTTTAAGAACCTTCTCTTGGTACCCATGAATAGTAATATTTCACTTTTTTTTTAACAAAAAATTAAATAAATTTGCGATTCAAAATATGTGGCAACCCTATTAAAAATATTTTAGAATTAGAATCTTTAAACCAATAAATTTTATATATAAATATTAGGATGTTTTAATTAATTTGTAATTAATTTCGAATAGGTGGCAACCTTATACGAGTCTTGTCGGAGATGGTGCCTATTCAGATAACCTTAAAATCCAAAATATTATCTGTGTACAAAATTTCATCAAAATCGTTAGAGCCGTCT